TAAAGGTGCAAATGTGATTCTGAACCTGCTTACCAAGACAGGGAAGGAGGCATCCCAAAGGGGTGGAAGCAGGTGCTTCGTCCATGTGGAGGGAGGTGATGATAGCACTGTCTGTTCTCTGCTCCCTATACACTTGCTCAAATACTGCAGGTAATATCCTGGGTGTCACATTCCGGTCCAAATTCTCTTCAATTGCAAGCAACCAGAGGCCAAATATTACAGGCCTGTGCAAGAGTTCTGAGGCCTCAATGTGGAAAATTGCTGTTGGGCCCCAGTGGGCTAGTTAGACATTCTGAATTAGCTACTGGAACTTGCCAGCAAAATTCACACAAAATGGTGAACCTGTGATTTATCTTGAGAAGTAAATAAGAAGGATCTGGCAAGGCTGGGCCATGGGATTGGCCTGCAAACCCTGTGCTGGACCAGAGCTCTAAGCCAGTTTTCAGACTTCTCCACACAGGATGCTCCTTGCCTGGCAGTTGAAGGCATTGCCATTTGCGACCCCTACTGGAAAGCTACCAAAGAGCAGGCACTAAGAAGGAAAAAAAAAAAAATTAGAAAAGCTGTCCATTGGGATCTACTTCGGTTATGGTCAAGCCATTCCTTAGAAGAATAATGTATTCATTTTTTCCAGTCCTCTTGTAGTAGCACATAACTATTGACAAACTATGGCCCAGTAAATATTATTCTAACAGTTGGAGACAGCTGTGGGCTTATCCCCTGTGGGTGGAGGAACTAAGAATGCTTCACACCGGAGGTGTCCTGGAGAAGGATTGTAGAGGCTGCACGCATCAGCTGGTTGCAACACTGCTCAACTCGGACAGAAAAGGAATTTTCTTGAAGACTACGTATTGCCTCTAGGAACTGTTGAGAGGCTCAAAATCCAGGGTTGGAAAATATGAAGGAATGAAGGGAATCTGGCTCCAGGGATCGTGCCACAAAGGCATCAAAGGAGTGGTTCTAGTGGGACCATGTCTTGGGACATTGATGCTGCTGCTGATGTATTTGATCCATGACCCAAGTTGTGATATAACACACTCAACAGTTTCTGCATCCTTAAGCTGCTCCACCAGATTCCAAACCCCTAATGGGGACACGTAACTAAACCCGAGTTCAGAGCTAGGAGATATGGAAAAGGAGAAAAGAGCCCCATCTCCCACTAAGAGCATCTCTCCATAGGGATTCCTTAATAAGATGAGGTTTAGGTGCTAGACACCTTCCAGCCACTTAGTGGGACATTAAGAAGTGATGACGAAAGGAGAGGCACCCAAAACAGCACTTCAGGCTAGAATAAGAACAGATAGATAAGAATTCCGATCTGGAATCCTTTGTACTTTCAGAAAACTGACAAATTTTCCTAATTTGCAGATTCCCAATCCTTAAAATAGAAATGATGCCATCTGTTCCCCTGGGTAGTTGTGAGAATTCAGTTCAATCATTCACTATTCCAAACATATTTGTGGATTATCTATTAAGTAGCTGGTGCTGAACTAGATTCTGGGGCTAAATCCTGAAGAAACCACCTACAATGTAATAGAGAGTGTGTACTCTGTGCCGATGACAGATTTAAACAAGGGCAAAATCTAGGTTATCTTACAAAAATGGTCATCTTTCATTTTCTCCCAGATGGGTTGCCTTTCTTTTTAACTGTTTTCTGTGTTTGATTAAGCACTATTAAATCCCTCCCTCCAAACATATCTTTTCCTTAAGATAGATGCACATATTAAGTTAAAAAACAAGTTGCTACAGCAAAAACCTCTAAAGGGTAGGGACGTAGCTCAGTTAGTCAAGTGCTCGCCTAGCACACAGGAGACCTTGGGTTTGAGTCCTAGTACTGTAGGAGCTGGGTCTCATGATCCATGCTTGTAATCACACCCAGCACTTTGCAAGTGAGAGGGCAAGGGGGTCAAAAGCTATTCAAGGTCATTCCTGGCAAGTTTGAGGCCAGCCTGAGACTGTCTCAAAAAATATAAAGAAGAAAAACAACCTAAAACAAGAAGGAAAAAGAACAACTCTAAAAATTAACGCTGATGCTGAAAATAAAACTGATAACAGGCCTGATGTTGGTATAATCCATGGAGAGTTCACACAGGAAGAAACTGACCAAGCATATGAAATTCTCCTTCATTTAATGTTTAACCTATGTAATAAATTCAGACATATTCCAATTACAATTAACATGAGCATTAAAATAAAAACATCAGAAGGACAAATTAAATAACCAAAATTCCACAAGTGTTTTACAATCAGCAAAATGTTTTTCACATATATTTTATCACTTCCTACCAGGTCGAGGGACGTGGAAAAATGCTGGGTTTTTCCAACCTTATGTGAAAAATCACTGCCTTCTGCAACGATTAGAAAGTTAGCATTTCCCACGGAGCAGCCAGGAAGGTGCTGCTCTCTGATCATAGCTACCTCACATATGTGTCCTGGATTCGGCTCAGGTCCGGGAATTGGTATCAAGGCACTCACGACAGGCACAGGTCAGATTTTTCTGAGCATCCACACATTTGACTGTCCTGGCCTTTAAACTATAACTACCAAGGAGAGAACACAGCTCAGTCCTTGTGGTGGGTGTGTGCCACCCAGGGTCGATGCTCTAGCCTCAGACAGGCCATGTAGAAGACCAGGCAGCTGGTACCAGCCAGCCTGTGCAGCAGCCCCTTTCAAGTTTCCACTGAATTTTAACTTAAGAAAAGCTTCCACAAAGCTTTTTCCTAGGATTTTTCAGGGAAGAGAATTTCTTCATTGGAGAATGAAAAGACAAGTCCTAACTATGTGAAGGTGTTCCAGTAAGGGAAACCTCCTTTTGCTTGACAAGATTTAAGATGGTGATGGGGTGATGGAAGGATAAAGTTTCTTGCACCTGCAGCAGCAGCAGCAACAACAAAAGCCCTCCTCCCATAGTCCCAAGCCCCATCTGCAAGTCCAAAGCACCAGTTTCTCACCAGCCTCTCCTTTAAAAATCTTCCATCTTAAAGACACCGATGTATTGCATGTCCCGCAACTTGGCAGTGGACGTGAAGTCCAGAAGCACAGCTCAGCCTTCCTCACTAAGGGAGCTTCCTTGACAGGAGCATAATTAACTGCAGGGACTAAGAATGCTTAGTCATGAAGTTGTCCATCCCTGTCACAGTCTGTCTATGTAACTGATGCCAGAGAACTTCCTTTAGAAGAGCATCTTTTCCCACCCAGCTGCAGGGGTGTGTGGAGGGGGCTTACATAACACAAAGGTCCATTCCAACAGGCTATTCCTGCAATCCTATGAAGGGAAAACAAACCAAGTGCTGGAAATACCAAAAGACCGGCAGGTCTGGATGATTCCAGCTGCACTCACTGTGGCTGGGAAAGAAGATAGGAAGAGTCCAGAGTCAAAGGGAATTACTACTTTACAAATGCTGACCATCAGCTTCCTTTTACATATATGATTTGATGGAGCTGGAAATGGAGCATTTGTTTGATTATATACAATGTTTTCAGATAATTTCACTAGTATTTCATGTATATATATATATATATATATGGAAAAGTAAAATATAGAATTCCTGCAATTAACTCCTGGGTGGAAGCTGGTAACTGAATTTCAACAAACACCGTGAGATTTGAGGGTTATGCTGGGACGGAAGAACCTTGTTTGTGCTCCAGCAGTTGGCCAAATACCCAGGGCCTGAGCACACAGGCCCTGCTCCCGGTAGCCAGTGGCAGGGACCAGGGCCAGTCACAGGGGCCGCAGCCAAGCCCAGGTGCTGTCTTGCTGGCCGGGCTCTCCTCCCTGGAGAGAAGAGAAGCAGAGACAGCTCACTCTCTCCTCCCCTTGGCCTCCCTCTGCTACTCCTCAAGAATGATGTCTGCTAGTAAGAGATGGTTTATGGGAGCACAGCTTGAAGACTGGATCTGGCGTCTCCTCAGGATCCCCCCCACACCCCCTGAAAGCCTCTGAGCACAAGTTGTGGATAAAAATAGCCGGGGATAACGCGGGGGGAAGAGGAGGAGCAAGTCTCACGCGAGGCAAAGCGAGGATATGAGCGAGCGTTTCTGCAAAGTGGAGGTTGGAAGGATGCAAGTCCTGGTCCAGGGACGAGCCCTGCTTGTGCGGGGAGGCGCAGACGTCCACTCTCCGAGAGAAACTGAGGAGTCCGGCAGAGCCCAGTGCCTCCCAGGCCAGCATCTGACTTCAGCCGGGCTTCTCCATCCCGCCAGTGGCCTGGGCTCCCAGGGTTCTGTCTGTCCTAAAGCCGACCTTCCAGTTCCAGGACCGGCTAGGGCCAGAAGAGGGAGCACCCAGAGACTGCACACCTGGAGAGGCCAGGCTCCGCGAGTAAACCACTGCTTCCAAGTACCGGCTTCCCCCGGGGGCAGCGCCGGCCATCCCTTATCAACATCCCCAGCTGCCCCCACTACCAAAGGTACCCGAAATAGAAACTGAGGTGTAAAAAAAGAAAGTAAAAACTAACATGAAAAAAACCAACAGCCGCGCGTAACTGGTTTTCTACTTACGGTCCCGCCGGTCACCTTCCTCTTTGAGTACCCCAGGAGATGCCTCATCTCCCCACTACTACTTCGGAACCCAAAGGCGACCAGACCAAGGCTTCCGCACCCCAGAAGCCCCAACCAGGAGTGACTTGTCAGCTGTGCGCCGACCCGTCCTCCGCCCCAGGTGGTACCCGGGTACCCAGCGCAGCGCTCCTGCTCAGGCCGCACAGGGTCCTAGAGAGAACCCGAGCCGCAGGGCGTGCAGCATCGAGCCCCCGGAGTCAGCTAAGGAAATGAATGTCTTTCTGGAGTCAGAAACTGACTGCTCGCGAATTCCTGAGTTGAGGTTCTCGGTCAGGAGATCTGGAGTCTCGGCTCCGTGCGCCCTCCGCTCCACCTGCCTGAGAGCCACGCACCTTGGAGTCCGCACTTGGGCTAGGTCGGGGCACCCGGTGCAGGTGCCGCGGCAGCCCGGGCGTGCCACTCCCCAGCCTGGCAGTCCCTGCGGGGCGCACGGCACTCACCTGAGCAGCTCCTCCGTCCAGCCCGTCGGGCTCCCTAAATCGGTTCTCCGAGCGGGCCATGGGCAGCGCCGCCGAGCACCCGCGCGTCCCGAGGAGAGAATTCCCAGTGGCCGGAGTGGCCGAGCGGGGAGAGGACCCTGGCCCACGCAGCGATCCGGCGGTGGCGGCAGCTCGCGGCTGCAGCGCGCAGAGGACCTTGCAGACCGGCGTTTTGGTGCTGGATCCCAAGGAAGGGAGGAGCAGGAGGAGGAGCAGGAGGAGGAGGAGGGGACGGAGGAGGGGACCGAGGAGGCCGGGCCCTCGGGGAGAGCGCGGAGGGCAGAGGAGGATCGCGAGCGCCCACTGCTGCCGGGTCCTCTCGGGTGCTGCCCCGAGTCCCTCCAATTGATAGCCGGCCGCGTCCTGGCGCGCAGACTCCCAGCCACCGAGCGGGACCCTGCCTCTACGCTTTGGCCGAGCTTTTAAAGGAGCAGGTTCTGCCCGCCTGGACCTGGGGCTCCTTGGGTTTCATACAAGAGGAGGGACTAGCTCAGCCACGGCGGTGGAGCGGGTGGCTTGAGTGACTTCCTCAACCCTGCAAACCTGGAGCGCCCAGTCCCTGACCCCTGCTGGGTCCGACCGGATTCCACCAGTTCCCCCATTCCCCAGCTCCGCACCAGCATCCCAAGACCCGCACAGCTCCCACGTATGTTCGCACCACGTGTTCCCCACCGGCAGGTGACCTACCTTAGGCACCAGTGCTGCCTGAGCTCCCGGATCCCCTCGCTGCAAGTGGTCTGGGATCCGCCTGGAGAGCTGTGCGTTGTCGCCATTAAACACCGTCTGTCTGGTTTCTACTCGGAGCAAGGATGCGAACTTCACTCAGGAGCGCAGAGAATTGAGCCCGGCTCTAGCAAAAGTGACTAGGTTTGCAAACGCCAGCTCTGACACTAATCAGGGTCTACCTGCCCCTGCCAGCCTTGGAAAGCTGGCAAGGTTTGCGTGACAGCCTACCTGCACACAGAGATTCAACTTAAGATTTGGACGGGCGGGGTGTGGAACTAACTGGACTCTCTTTAGAGACTCTGGTCTGTTTGAGGCAGTGCAAGTTGCCTTTATCTATTTTAATGTCTTCCATATCCTAAAAATTAAAAGTTAAATATTTAGCATTTCCGCTTTTAGAATTAATATTCTTTCATCAGAGTGAAGGGCTCTTATAGGAAGCTGACCCCTTAACTGTTGCAAAGAGTAGCCTCAGTCCTTCTAGAAAGCAAAGCATGCTCAGTGCAACGGTCTGTGACAGGTAAAGCCAGAAAATTCTGGAGGCCTTAGATCAAACCTCCCTTTTGAAAAATAAGCTCCTAGGAGTTTGAACGACCTAGCTACATCCTTGAGTCAGAGTAAAGTCCAGTTAAATAAAACTGGGTATTAGAGAAATCACCTTAAAGGTGCATTTTGAAAAGACTTAGCATTTAAACTTACATTAGATGTAAGAAATGCTTTTTCTCCCCCATTTTATGAAGCTGGGCAAATCCTATAAAAGGCTGTTGTGGTCAAATGGAGGTCTAAGACTGAAGCCTTGCAAATTATGGTCTTTGAAAAGTTTCCATCAGGCGCCAACCATACTGTATATCAGGAATTCTTCCAAGAAGGGAGGGTGTTGATAGTCCTTAGTTGGTTGAGATTACCTTTCCCTAAAAGACTCAGTGTATTTTGATGTCTAAAGTATGAGACACAAAGGTGGGTTAACAAGGATGCTATTTGTGCCTTGGAAGCCACAGACAAATTAACCAGCCTCTTAGTTACCAATCATAAACCCATGGAAGAAAATAAAATCCCAGTGTTGAACTTTGGGTCTCAGTTAGTCATTCTATTTGTGGAAGTGACTCCAGGTTTACCTAGGGAGTGACAAGAATTTGAGCACCGGCCTTCCAGCTCTTCTGCCCTGAATCTCTTGATTTCATCTAACGTTTATTGATCAATCAATGATCAATGTTCTTAGGTTTATGTAAATACAATTATTAGTGACTGTTTTGTTGTGCTTTAGTTCTACCCTCTAGAAATTGGGCCCCTCTCTGAAGTCCTCGGGGCATGACTTCTGTTCACGCAATGCGAGAGTTCAGCTCTGCCGTAGCAACACTCGCACTGTACCATGGAACATACCTGACTTTCCATCTATCTGCCCTCAGTAAATTAGAAGAGACTTGGGCATGACCAACCATGACATAATTCTCCTCCCCAAATGTTTGCAGGTTATACTGGCTGAAGAGATGTCTCAGTGGTTAAGGGTAAGTACTGCTATGGTAGCACAACCAGAGTTTGGTTCCACTAGAGTTCTGTACCCATAATGGGAAGATCCCAATTATCTGGAACCCCTGCTCCTGGGCATCCAATGCCCCTTTCTGGCCTCAGCAGGCACTGCATTCGTGTAATCCACTCATTCATACACATAAATTAAAAATAAAAATAACATATTTTTAAAAGGTTTGTTGGTTTGATTTCTTTTAGGGCGGGTTGGGTTGTTTCAGACAAGTTTCTGTCTCAGTAGAGAGAGAATGAGAATTTAGGTAGCATCCATAAAGAGAAACAACTATCTGTGAAATACGCCTGTTATACAAACTGAAATACAAGTGTATTGTAGACCATCTCTACATTGCTAGTATTTAAGCTATTAAAATGTTTTCCAGACATCTGATATGAGGGATACATGGAAAATTAAGATGTCACTATTGCCCAAAGAGAGCATAAATTTTTTTTATATTTAAAATTGTGCTTTTTAAAAAAGTGCCCTTGTAACAATTGTTTTAATATTTATTTTTATTTTTATGTGTATGCATGCACTGCCTGCATGTAGGTAAGTGCACCCATATTGTGCAATGCCTGCGGAAGACAGAAGAGGCTGTCTGACCCCCTGGAACTGGAGTTATGGACAATTGTTAGCCACCATGTGGGTGCTAGGATTCGAACCCAGATCTTCTGCAAGAACTGTCAGTGTTCTTAACTGCGGAGCCATCTCTCCAGACCCAACAATTTTTAAAGTTTGAGAAAGCTCCTTTTACATAATCAAAGAGTTAATAACCGTCTACAGAAGAGCAAACTCATTTTAAATTGTTTGAAAAAAGTAAACATTTGGGTCTGGAGAGATGGCTCAGTGGTTAGAAGCACTAACTGCTCTTGCAGTGGACCTGGGTTTGATTCCCAGCACCCACATGGCAGCTATGAACATCCTTAACTCCAGTTCCAGGGGAGTCCAAAGCCCTCTTCTGACCTCCACAGCATTGCACAACACAGGTGCACTCACATACATGCAGGCAATACACTCATAGATATAAAATAAAAATAACAAATAAAATATTTTTAAAAAGTAAACGCTCACGCCCACTGACATTACTCCAACTTCCAACGGGTGTGCCCTCCTCAGGTACTGAAATCAAGGTTATTAAGTTTGCCTCCATCATCTACAGTGATAGCTCCAGTCATCCACCTACTACTGAAGGAAAATGAGACAGACCAAAGAAGAAACAAACGTTCTCAGTGAACCTCCTGGTTGGACTCCCAAATTTAGCACTTGAGTGGATGTTGAGTTTTTATTACCAGTTGTCCTTGGCTGGTTTGCCCAAATGAACTTGTGTCTGCCTCTACCTGCTTTGCCATAAAGCTGAATCTAAACTTTCTTTGAATAGAGCATGATACCAGGGCATAATTTGAAGTCACTGGTTCAAATCCTGCCCTTAGGAGCAGTAAAGATAGCACTCACCATCCACCATCCACCTAGAAATCACTCATCTCGGTTACATTCAGAGAAGATGAAAGCCAAAGACCGATACGGAAACAAAAACAGGTGGCTTGTGAGTTGAGCTAATGCTCTGCAATAATGGCAGATAAGATAGAGCCAGGCTGTGTGCCAGGTGCTGTGCAAAACGAATTGTGTAAGATGCGTCTGCTGTTCCCGTATGTTCACGTGTGTATGTGTGTGTGTGCGTGTATAGGAAGAATGCCCAGCTGTGCTTGCTGGTTCTCAGGTGGAGGTCAGGCGCTGATGCTGATGTCTCCCTCTGAGGAGCTCCACCTTCTCATTGTGAGACAAGATCTCACTGAATCTAGAGGTTGCTCTTTCACTAGACAGACTATCCAGTGACCCTCCAGAGATCTGTGTATCCCTCCTTGTCCTCGGTACTGGGGTCATCGATGCACTGGAGATGCAAACGCAAGTCTTCATTGCTTGCATTGCGAGCACTTTACCTACCCAGCTACCTCCTCTGCCTGTACCTGCTGTTCTGACAGCAACCTCTGAGAAAAAAATAATTCCCCCATTTTTATAAGAGGGAAAACAGTACTTCACAGAAGTCAAGTAACTTGTTCAAGGTGACACGCTCATAAAAGGTTTTCCTTAAATAGTTCTAGGGATCGTTAATCCCATCTTTCCCCATTCTGTAATTGAATTAGTTCATTGGAGCACCAGGAAGTCATTAATCCAGGCAGTTCCCCTTCCAGCTAAAACTAGACTCCTAATCCAGTGTTTGCTGGAACTGAATGATTTGCTGTTGTTGAGTTGGTTATTCTTTCTTCGAAATACATGATGGGAGAGAGGAAAGTCAGAGAGAATGAGGAGCTGAGTAAGCTTGCTTCTTCTGAGGAGCTGAGGATCTATACACACTACCTGCTGGGACTCCAGGGGATCTTACCTAAGATTCCCTGTCTAAAATGCTCCCCTATATAGCCTCTTCTCTCGTAATGGGCATTTGAATCTTTCAGGTTAATAGCATAAATATTAAGGAGTCCAATGGGATTCTTTACAAGCAGTGGAAATTGGGATCAGGTTAAAAATCCAATTTTAATAAACTTTCCAAGTCCTGATTTAGATGGTGTGCTAATGACTCTTAGTGCTGAGTCACCTTAAAAGTCAAATGTATTTTTAAAAGGTCTTCCTTATATGGGACTTGATGGGTATTGCTTAAGTGCGCATTGTGTGCATTCCTGTCTTCATTGAAAAAGATCACCTGGAATTGAAGAGAGCTGACGGGGAGGAAGCCATTCTTCGAGCTGTTTGCTTACAGGGGAGGGCTTTGCTCCGTAAGATAATTTTCACTCCTTTTGACCAAAACAAAGAGAGTATGATTACTGTGTGAAAATGAGATCCTCAAATAACTCTGCTAATTTGATTGTACTGAGGCCTAGGACTGTTTCTGTTTCTGTTGATTTACTAATTAGCCATAGCTGTCTGCTTGCT